AAACCTTAAGGACCTGATGAAGGGATAGCGTGACAATTCTAAATAAGTACATGTCGTAACAAATTCGGCCACCTGGCCGCCCGAGACGCCGTCGGCCAACAATGCCTTAACGCAAAGAATCGAGTTTGCGTGCTTTTAGTGGCCGAGAAACGTGTCATGGTTCGATACCAGTCACCAGCATTGCTTTTGGTTAGCTTCAAACCATCAAAAGTTTTTCGTTCAAAATCGATCAGCTTCTCGTTCAAGTTCTGATAGCTTAATGCATAGCCTTCTTTTATTGGTAGGTGATAGGCGAATGGTGTGGTGGTTTCTAGCCTTTCATTACTAGTTCATACAGTATATGGCACAACCATCATTTGGAGGTAAAAATATAATAATTTTATAGGAAACAGAAACAAACACAGAAACGAAGTTTTCTTAAATTAACGTAATCATCTTTAGTTGAACATATTTTATAAATATTTCCTTCCTGTATAGTCGTAGGTTGTAACAGAACTTTTCTATGCTCGTCAAACGTGGTTCTTCTTAGCGTTCTGTTTGCTACGAGGAATCGAACTCCGGATTTTATCATTGTAAGTCTGCAAACTTACCGTTTACTCATCTGGGAAAGCGATCAAAGGATCGGGAAATAATAATAACTACTCAGAAATCAGGGTTAATCAATTTATTTTGTTCTGTTTTTAGAAGTGAACCATTATCATATAAGGATAACGGAGTACGACGGTACTAATAAATCAAGGTTTTGTGGTAGTCATTATTTTATATATTCAAAAGAATGAATAGGAGTGAAGTACCGGTACGAATGTACGTTCTCATACATTTGATAGCCCTCTCGAAAATGTTAGACGTGATCCAAGATGGATATGTAGACGCTTTTGGGAAGTTATAGTTTAACTAGAAGCGACCATCATAGAGGTATCGAAATGCATGAGATCGTACCAACAAAGGAATGCCATTACTGGAAATGAAAAGAACTAGATTAGAAGCAAATAGCTTCGTGGAGCCATTACAGTACTAGGAGTGATCCAAATTAGATTTGAAATATTTCCATTGGGGTAGTGACACTCGTGAAGACAATTCACACTAATATATAAGAATTCAATACTTATAAAACTGGAAAGTGGTCTGAAACTGACTCGAAATAATGAAATAAGATTCTGAAATCTATACCGGAGTAAAGGTATTTTTAGCATCATTTTCAGGATATAAATATATACATGGTGAACTGGAAATAGCTTCGTGGAGCCATTACAGTACTAGGAGTGATTCAAATTAGATTTGAAATATTTCCATTGGGGTAGTGACACTCGTGAAGACAATTCACACTAAAATATAAGAATTCAATACTTATAAAACTGGAAAGTGGTCTGAAACTGACTCGAAATAATGAAATAAGATTCTGAAATCTATACCGGAGTAAAGGTATTTTTAGCATCATTTTCAGGATATAAATATATACATGGTGAACTGGAAATAGCTTCGGAGAAGTGATACCAACAGATGAGTTGATCCGTTGTAATACAGAATCAATCTTTTGAACTAAACATTTATTTATTGTCGAATATACAGGGTGTAGAATTTATAGTTACAAGTTTCATTAGGTTAACCTGGCATCATCAGGTACAGCAACTATAAGGTTAACTTGGTGAAACGTTAGAGCCATAGATATACTTTGTGTATTTATGACAATAAGCAAATTTCAAATTTTATATAACAGAATAATACTTCATTAAATTATTTAGAATCAATTTTACTAAGTTACTTAAGTTGTTTAAGAAAGCTATAGAAGACCAGTTACACAATCATATACCGGTATACAATCATATGTCGGTACACAATTATATATCGGTATTGGGAAAGATTAAATGTAGACTCGGAACAACAATTTGTAAGTTGAATGGTGCTAGAACTTTTAATTGAACCAGAAGCAGTTTGAGCTGACATTTCTTGGTACTTACGCTGTTTTATATATTTAAAAAAATAGACAAAGCAGTTAGCCTCAGTTGATACCCGTCTCAAAGCAGTTAGCCTCAGTTGATACCCGTCTCAAAGCAGCGTCAGAATCAGGTGGAAATAAATATTTACTAACGAATGTTATTCTAATAAAGGTTTAAGCTAATGATATTTCATGTAAGTTAACTTGAATCAACGTAAGCAATTTTGATAGTGAAATAGATATGGCATCAGAACCATGTGCAAAGTAACTCAAACTACCAAAGGAAATTTATTCTCTTACTCTGACTGGGCTGATCACAGGATGGTGATTATTGTGCTGGAAAGTGGATTCGAGGGTTCACGGCCCGAGTCCCGTTACCACAAAATTGTGCTCCGCTCCTGGGGATAGTTTATGCGTAATAAGTGTGACGGCCAAATCCCAATATTCGATTAGAGCAGCTCATTTAGGAGTGAGTGTTGTTAGTTAGCTGTCTTTAGTCTATCGATTCAAAGTTAGGTATGGCTAGCGCTATTAGCCCTTGTGTAGTTTTGCGTGAATATCCGAAACAACAAACTCTGCCGACTATCTCATATCAGCAAAAAAAATTGATATATGTATATCACATTTATTTAACTTAACTCTAAAAGCATGTTTCACCTACGTGCTATACATATATATATATATATCACAATACGAAGTATAATATGTATTCTATGCTTCATTACAATTTGGTAGAGAGAAGTTATACCTCCGACCTATGGCTTAAGGCGTAATACACAACTCTTATTTCACTCCGACGCCACAAAGAAAAAATTGCTACAATTGACGTTTACCTACATTCACAGCAGGAGCTGGTGTTAGAGGTTGTGGTAATTATTTCTTTAGAGTGGGAAGATCCATGTTAGCGCAGTTACTCATTCATCAGACCACTTTGGACAGAGATTCCGATGTTACGATGTCACTTCACGAGTCACGAGGCACAGCAGGACCCTTAGCCAAGCCGTCGGGCATGGGGGACCGACACGCTGCGTAACGTACTGCTTTATAATACATTCCATAACTCTTTACAAAATGGAGTGGGAGGGAGGAAGACCACGGGTGATCACACGACCACAATCAACCCAGAGGGACCGAATTCGTAAACTGACCGAACCATTTTTTTTTACTCCACGCGAAATTTACTTTTCTTATGACACCCCCTTTTCAGGCATACTTCTCTTTAACTTAGTTATAGGAACATACTCAGTTCTTTGTAGTTAATGAGAAGTTGAAGAAACTCAATATTGGATACAATTCGACGTGAACTGATTGTATGATAAGATGTATTGTAACAAAACTGAAATAATAATATATGTTTAAAACTGAATTATTGTAGACAAAAGAAATGCATAATCAGGTTATCTAAAAATTACTTTTAGATCTAGTTGTTCTCGTACTTGGCTAAAATATAGGCTACATATTTTAAATGTATTTCTATTCAGAGACTTTAGTTTTTCTTTAGATTAAACAAACATGTTTGTTATACTTCATTAGATGTTACCCACTTTTGTTTTCCCACAATTTCTTATCTGATCTATTAAGATATCATTAGTTAGAAACAATCAAACATATAATACAGAATGAGAGTATTTTGGCACTTGTGTATAAAGTTAAAATCATAAATAATATTTAACGTTGAATATTATTTATGATTTTAAC